ATGGGTTCCCCAACTTTGCTTTCCTGGACAGCGAAGTGGGTACTTTCGGATCTTTTTGGCTAAGGGGGAGAGGGGTGCAACAATAGCACAGATCTGGGCTTCCTTACCACAGCTACCACCTGCTTGTTAAGCGCATCTTGAAATCATAACTGGTTTCGTTACGTCTTTCGAACTACCGCATCATCAATATTGACCACTGTTTTAATCTCACCCACAATGCGTTGCGCCATTTGCGTGTCCCGTGACTCCTACCACTCACTTTGCTGGCAAACACTCCATACCACGGTACCAATTGTTTGCTCCGTAGTACACAAATGCGGTAAAACCAACAATAGCTGTTTATTCTCACCGTACAACTCGTGGTCGTTTGCAACTTCAAATGCGTGTCGTTCGAGTGACGTGTTCTTTACCCGCTGGGTTGCATTAGAAAGGAGTAACAAGCTTGTCCGCGTTAAGCGTTGGCCAAACACAATAAGCGCCACCAGTGGTGTTTATTACATCTGAACTCATCCTGTCGCTGTGCTCTGGTCAAAAGTTGTAAACCAGAGACGTTAACTGGATCCGTCATCACTGTGCGTGGTCACCACAGGTACTAGGCTCCATCATTTCATCCAACACTCTTCACCAGTGCCAAACCATTAGACTACTCAGTTTAGCTTTTTCTCAGCGCACTTCCTGATATAGCTGGCTTTATCTTCGAAATTATGGCCATTTGGTATCATTCACCAGATGGGGCGTCCACCGTGCTTTACCGTGGCTTACTCTCCTCCGGACGACAATACTGCTCCCGGGTGTGCTTTTGCTAGCTTTTAGATCGAGGGAATTTCGAGTTCTCCCTCCGTGTAACTTCTCCGCGTGGCAATCACTGACATGAAGAGCGCGTTCCCCAAAACATACTCCTCTATTCCTGTCCCACTGTCACCTTCCATCGGGCCTAGTTTCCATTTCTGTGTCATATCAAGCAAAATTTATCCTAAAACACAGCTTTAGAGTTCATTTTCTCTTTCTCTGTTGTGCCGTACGTGCCGAAGCATTATTTTTCCACTCAATATTGGTAATAAATCCGTTTTACTTAACAGCCTCCGTTTGAATTCACTGTGATCAACCTCCACCTAAGTTACACTATTTGAGGTCCAAGTGCACCTTTCCAACACTGCGCCAGTGACACACCAATGGAAATGCTTCAGAGAATCTCAACTTACCCTTTTGCACGGTGCACCACGCTGCCTGATTGGCGGCTCCAGCCACCTAAATCCAGCATCGATATGGCATGTTCCTAGCCAATACACTAGGCGATACGCTACCACTCTCTTTCCCTACTTCTTTCTCTTTCCGTCTTTTGCCATCTGCCTCTGCAATAAATTTGCGCTTAGCCGAAATTTACACGTGATCTGAGCACGGTCCCTATTCACGTACGTATTCGGGTGACGCACTGAGTCCTCGAAACCCGACAACGATGCGCACACGCAGCACACAGCTAGAATGACGCACACGATCACGTGACCACGCGATACCCAACCTGCCTAGAAGAGGAGAAGACCAAGTGGACCTCTGAGAATTCTCCTACAACCCACAATGGCCGAATCACAGTTGGTACAATGGTTCATTTTGTGGGTGCAATGAATCACCAGGTAGAGCACGTGATTTACGAAAGCACGATGTTCACCTTGGCCCAGTTGCGCCCCGACTCGGATTGGTTGTATCCCGCTGTGCTGTGCGTAGGAATTGAGCTATGTGTGGCGCAGCCCACGCATTGGATTTTGTGGTGCATTTTTGCGGGGTTACTTGACGTTCCCGCAACAGCGTCAACTGCTTCCTACTTTTCCCGATCCTGTTTTTCTACTTTGCTTCTCTTTCTGTGTTTTTCCTGCCCTTCATTTTTCTCTCTCCTTTCCTTTTGTGCTTCACCTTTTTTACTTTTTCTCTTCCTCCACACCTACCCCCTTTCACCTCACCCTTCATTTCATCGTTCTCCACCATCTTCTTCTTCGGTTCCTTTCTCCTCCTCCTTCAAGCTTGGAATAGTGCACTGCCTGAATTCGTTTTTTGAATCGCCTGTGCATGCGCCCTCGCTCTTCCCCTCAAAGGAGTGCGTGTACATTATTTTAGTTGCCGATCGGCTTATTTTTAAAGTTCTGCTGCTATTATCTTCCTATCTGAATCGTCATTACTCTGTTCAATTGAATATTTCCTCTACTCATCTCCCCTAATCCAGATCGTCACAAAGTGCTTACTAATTAAATACTAATTGTCGTCCAACCAAACACTCATTGTCGATTCCGCGTATATCATTCACGGGCTGCTGAGCAGTTACAGTGTTTGGCGCTCCAACTATGTTGCTTCCTTTGGAAAGCATCTTACTATTCGTTCAACTATTCGTTCAATAATCTGAGGAATTTTGTACATTGCGACTTTCGGTCGGTAGCTTTTGTTGAAAGACTTAGTGTCCACCACTGTGCTTCACGAGTGACGGTTACCAACCACGGCTGAGCCCCGGCTTGTTGCGGTGTCCACTCTATCTTCGACATCTCCGCAAGTGTTGGCATTCATCTTCCACGGCACGCTCCAGCTAAGCGCGTGTAGATACAGTGCACACCCTAGTAACACCCATCCAGATACATCCGAGCTTACACCGAGTGCCTGGGTCGTTTCATTACAACAGCTACTGTTGGTGGGGATCACTCTCTTTGCTCATTTCTCTTCAACTTTATTGCACCAATTCACGGTACTTCCTCTCACGCTGCCTTGAAGTCCAATCAAGATGAAGTTGACTAACGGAGATCCTACGGCTTTGAACCGCGTGGATCAAATGGTTCCACCATTCGACGGTCTGGAATTTGCACCACCCACTTGGCTGATGCATTTCGAGATGGTTCTGTCATTAGGCATTTGCGTTACATTGTCTTCTTTTTAATACTTTCACAGGGCGTCCTGTTAACACTTTAGATGAAACCATAACACATTGGCAAGTCTATCTGTACATGTAGAATTGCATAAACATTTGCAAGTTTACAGTAGCCCCTTACTGACATCGAAAGCCTTTTTATAGCATTACCAAAGAACTTATTTTTGATAACATTTTGTGTAAACAAGTTGACCCTGTGCACCATTTTCATTAACACCATGTGTCCCGGGATTCTCTGCATATAGACCAGCGTTATTCTCAGGTCACTTCTACCGGGTGCGACCTTCAGCTGAAGTCGTAGTTGTCGAGACGAACGCTATACTGCGCACATAACTCCCATCATAGAAGAGGATGAGCCTCACTGCATCGTAGCTGACTATCATGATTATACTTTCCTTTCACCCACTGCCTAATGTTATAGGCCACTGGCCTCCAAATGCACGTACAGTGGATTCGACTCCCCTATATGTGGAGGAGTGCTCCATGCCGGTGAATTCCAGCAGGACGAAACAATATCTTAGTGTTCTTCTGGGCTGTGACGAATTTCCTTGCTTATATGTCGTACCACATGACATGACCGAGCTCGGAACGACGGGACGCGTCGAAGCGCAATGGCAAGCATTCATTGACATGCGCTCACCCTGCTAATTGGGTCCATCCGTCGTTTGTCGAATGTAGATTGATCCGTGTTAAAGTTATGGAGGACTGCCAGATGAAATCGCTGATAAAAACGTTGGAATTCCTAGTTCCTCTGACCTCCCACCACCTCCTCTATCTCCTCACCCCAGGGCTATGAAGCATACAAGATGTAACCATAGTCAATTTCACATTGATGGTCTCCTGATGAGGTAGTTTCCGGTCTAGTGTTAGTGTACCTTGGCCGTGTCGTTTTTAGAGTTCTGCTTGAAGCAGTACTTAAGTGGGTTCATCACTGCAATATCTCCCGGAACTCTCCTCTCTCTTCAACACTGGGACACAACTCGACTTTGTATAGGTGCCCTACCACTCTCTATCTCAAGTTATTCTTTCCCACCCGATTGGAACCGCGTCTGTACAATCACGTTTGTGTGCCAGTGTGGCATCAATAGGACAACAAAACACTGACGCCGATGTTGAATGGTGCTCACGGAACTGCATGGTTTAGCTTGCAATTATCCTCCCTGTTTGATTGAAGAGCTTATGAAAAGTGGGGAAGAGGGACTTTCCTAACGCTCCAGTAATGTGAACCACTAGTTTTCTTGTAATATTGCATTACGGGTTCGTTCGACCAAAAGTCTCAGTAGATTTTAATGATGCCTTAGGAGTATGAGAAGATGTCAAGCCTTAAGCGCTGAAGTCTCATCTTCCCTACTGGATCAGAACAGTCATAGCTGATCAGCTGCAAGAACCAAACATTTCCGTTCGGTCTCCACCTCTGACCAAAATCATGGCGTCGTCTCAGAATTAGCGAGTGACATGGCCGATCTGCTAATGACGAAACCGATTTCTCTAGGATTTGCGCTGCACACTAGTCAACTCCCATCCACAACACCTGTTCGCTATCGCAAACGTTGTTCGCTTGGGAGACAGAAAGCTTTGTTCTCACGCCAATTCACAATCAACAACCTAGCTTTTACAAGTGTGGCTTTCCATTGCTGTGAAATTTTTCTGAACAAGAAAAACCATTTCTTTTGATTGTGCTCATGATCTCTAGTGTGAAGCCATTTCTTTCGAGACATCTACGATGCATTTTGATTGCGTTATGTCGCCCTTCCAGCACTTTCCAGTGACACTTCACGGTTTCCTGACCGGCTTTTCTCAACCATCTTTTAAGCACGATTGGTGGTACAATTCGGATGTTGCTCGCGACCGGCTTCGCACTGTTTTGCACACATCAGCTAGAGCTGGCAGCACTGCAAAGCGAATCGTGATTCAGATTGAAACTGCTTATCGCAATTCATTCCTACGACGGTGCTTCGAGCTGACATGCACGCAATCGGTATCACCCTTGTATTTACCCGTGAAACATGTTTATATTTACTACTTATGAGTAGCACAATAACTTAAATTTTTTAACATAACGCCTCTTCCGCTGTTCCTTGCGCATTTTTTACAGGTTGGGGTGATTTCGAGGATTGGCAGCCATACGACGTGGCTGACTTGTTAAAGCAATTTTTCAGAGAACTTCCGGAGTGCCTACTCACTGACAAACTGTCAATGATCCTGATCAATATCTACAGCTGTAAGTTAGGCTGAGAGAACCTTTTGCTGTGAATAAATCCCATCAACCACTGCTGCTTTTTGTGTTGAGTCTCAGTAGTCGTTTTGCTTTCATCGCATACTGTCTCACCCATCTGAAGACGCGAACTCCAGCACACTTGAAGTCCTATATCGGATAGTTAACCCATTGCGTAGCTAGTTACTCTTTGTCGTTCTGTGGTGGTAGGGATGGTGGTATACCCATGTCAACCATCCTGTTAAGCGGCTACAGAGGATCTTGGGAGCGAAAACCGCAATGTAGGTGCAAGCCACTGTATAATCGATAAACAGTGTTGATTTGCCTGCGCCGTTATAATTGACGCTCGGTTGATCACCCCAATCTTCCAACGAAAGTTGCCGCATATTTGATCCACCATCTGCCATTTTGGTATCACTGATGCCCCGCACATCCTGCCGCCCGTTGTCGGCTTGTAGAGAGTAGCAGAAGGTGGAATTTGGATTAAATTTTCAAAAGAGATCTTCCTTAATCACATCAGTCAAAAAGCTACTGCACATATGGAAGAGCGCCCAATAACCACTCCATATTTTCACGAACCGTCAGCAGTGCGCATCTCATCTCCCTCAAGTGTGGCCATAACCCTTAGACTTACGTTTACACTTTCGGGGTTAAGATCATTGGACCATGGGGGATGAGCGGCAACCGCTGTGACTCAGTAACTGGCTGTGATATTACGCGTATGCTCATGGTTCCCTGTCATGCGTGTTTTCTGCCTGCAGAGGTTAGGGTTAGCCCCTTAGCCGCGAAATTCTTGCTGATCCGCGATCGTTTGATAACATTACGGGCTAGCTTTGACAATTAGCAGTGTATTTCGCGATTAGCGGTTTCTGGCTACTATGTGCGAAGACCACTTCAACTTCTCGGTCTTCATCCAGTTAGGTAGCGGAATTGTTGTACCGCTTGACTCGAGTGTTTTGTGGTTACCCGAACACAAACTGGCTACACCTACAGAAGTTCGTGTATTGTTTATCCTGCACATCCCACGGCTACTTCCGTACACTGCATCACAATGTAAACCCGAAGGAATATGATTGAGAGACAAGTGGATGGGAATTCTGCGTGACTTATCGTTCACACTCTTTCAACACATGCACATCACTGGTGTGAAACTTTGGAAAATATACGTGACTGATGTTCTCAGGGCAGTGACTGGGCCGTTGCCCGTCCTATTCTGGAGGAAACCACGCGTTGAGCCTGGCACTACCCTGAAAACTGTGCACCCCATTTCTCTGGGCAACGACTGGCACTCTCTTGATACCAGTAGTCGAAGTGGTGGGATTCGGTAGGTAAGCACCTTGTTAACATTCGCACCGAACACAACCAACCCCGATGCATCACTCGGAGGTTAAGGTCCCTCCAATGCACATCAGTTGCCACAGGCTGCAACACGAGTCTCACACTGGCGTCCACACAACCGGACTGAGGAAACTTTCACACTGACCAAATCATACACGTGCTAGACTATCCGTGGGATCTACCATGAACACGAACGAAACGAATGATCCTAACACACCTTCCTGTTCATAACATTTCACTTACAGCTACCAGCCAGTCACGCAAGGAACGGAAAGCCATCATGTAGAAGCAGTGATCCGATACAGCTCCAGGTATTCACACGAGACACTGCGTGTTGGGTCCGGTCTAGGCAGGCTCGGTGCAGTGAAGGCGACTGGGCGCAGACGACTGAAAGCAGTCAGTCTACAAAACTGGGTCAACATCTCAAAGTCATCTACCTACATATCATACACACAAGATATCCACAGTTCACACAGACGTCATGGGCTGGTGTGGTTCTACAGATGTTTGCTTACGTGGGTATCATGAGGTGTCTTTAGACCGCGACCGCTGGAAAATTTCGAGCATATGTAAGAGATAGTGCAATGAAGCAAGTTACTAAAGGTGAACGGAATACATTTTATTCCACTCAGCCCATGTAAAACGAAGAAGCACCATCTGTGCACTATTAATCAGGCAACGCGTTCAGTTTACATCTATAATGTTTCCTTGCTCGCAGTTTTCAAGTACTCGTTTAGAAGCACGCTATAACTCTCGAACTTAGAACTTACTTTTGGTACATCCTTAGACTGAGACCTTGGAGTAGCTTGTTGAATGGGCCTTATTGACACCGCTAACTCACGGGTTCAGACGCACTTATGTTGCCCAACCAATGGACGATCTCACGATTGAGGTACCAGTTTTAGAATCCACAAGTCTCTCCGGTTAAGCGAATCGGTGGTAGTTTTAAATGGGACTTTCACAACTGAAAATATATTTGGCGGTCTCCCTAGCAGTTTTGGAAGGCCCACATATAATGTGGTCATGGAACCGGTACTCACGTGACCGGCGCTCACGTGACCGCCGCGCAATTAATCGACACGAATGACCTTGGAGGGGATCAGCGAGCTTACCATTGCAACGATCCCACACATTTTGGTGTCCAATGTGTGCGAAGTGTTAGAATGTGAACATATTCTGTAGCGAAACCAGCAAATAGGTTGGGATGCCTGTGCTCTACATACTATCATGCTTTATCGTTGCAGTCGATTTCAAGTTAAGAATGTCTAGAATGTGCTTTATGCACCCTTGAAAGGGTTAGTTGGGTATGTGTCCTCGTGTGTCTGCTCTAGCTTGTGAAATCTGGTTCGACTGAACGAGAGTACCGGTACCATCGCTTCGATGCTGGCTATGGGAGACTGATAACTGTTTGTGAAATTGATGGATGCACCATCGTCTCTTAACGGCACATGACTCCCAGTGAGTTCGTCATGGAACTGGTTACAGTCTAGCCACTACTACTGTACCATTGTGAAACATGACCCATCAGATCGATAGATATGAACACGCTAGTTAAACTGAACCGTCGCCACCTTCACATACTGGGAGGACCACAGCGTGTGCAATGAGCGTGCCCGGCTTCGTGTTTTTGATGCAGGAAGAGTTAGTGAACCGCTTAACGCCCTTATGTCACGCACCGAGCTCCGATGGATGCGCCACCTGTTGAGCGTACCATCATGCCGACTCCCGTGACGTTCGTTGTTTGCGCGACCTCAGTCTGGACAGAAAAGGAAGAGTGGAGACCAAGTGATGACTATGTCAATAAGAACTTGGATCCTCGTTTTGAACTTTACATCTTTGCTGCCTCTTAACTGCCGTGCTTGGGCCCGAAAAACAATGAACACTTTTGGTTGGATATACTTGTTGACATGGCGAAGAGCCGACTTCAGTGGCGTTGTGTTGGGAGTTTCTTTCCCCCCCCCCTCCTCCGCTTAGCTTCCTCCTGCAGCCACGATCTCACTTTTCTTGCATACTATGATAATAACGATTATATCACTTCTTTTTCTTTTGTATTCTTCAATGTTTAGTACCTCGCTTTTTCATCCATCCTATCCTTTTCGATTGCGGCACAATAGCTGAGGGGTTTCTCACATTTAGCTAGCGTGTGATGATAATGACAGCGCTCACCTCCGGTATGCACTTTTCCGTACCTAACGTTCTACGAGTGAGTGAGTACTTTGCAGCTACTTCTCGCAGCCAAACTACGTGTACGTTCTCCTGAGATGCGGTGAAATTTCGCCACGCCCCTAACATACGACGCACTCCTCAGGGTTGTTTTCTGGGTGTGCCTTTTTGATGTGGCTTACAGCCTAGGCTGGTAATCGACCCCCATAAGTGTCCTGTGGATAAGCACAACAGTAGTGATGAGTAAATGCGGTAACGCTGGTCGCCAGCGCCCTGTTGACATGATCCCTAGGTGAAGCGATTTGTCAAGTGCGAGTAGCAATTTTCATGTTCACCACCATAAGAATCAAACCGAAGCCACCGTCCCAGTTCACCGCAATCATCAGTCCACGGGCCACAGCAACAGCAGGCGCTCTTTCTCCGTTTTGAACATTATTCACTACCACTGTCACGAGCTTCGGATTTTGCACTAACTAAGGAAGGGTGCGATCTGATGAAGTTTTCTTATTGACTGACACATCACATGGAAAGCGGTGACAGCCTGCTCCAAAGCAGTAAGATGTGTGGGAGTATGTTGAGGCATTCGCCCTAACCATGTCCAGTTAGACTACTACCACACACCTGAAAGGGGACTGGACGGCTGTTTCATCTCACTGAAGATCGTCAGCATCTGACTCCGTCGAATTTTGCAGGGTTCGAACTCACGTTGGTTCACTAACTAAACAGTGAACTAGTCACTGAGCCATCGGTGATGGCGGTTGTCCGGCGCGACTTATCAGGGGCTGTAACGTATCGTACTCGTTCTCTACTGCCATGTATTCTACCAATTTGCAGAGTTACTACTTCTGTCGCTAAACTGCCACTCGTCTCATAGCCTCACAGATCAGCTCGTTAGAAACGATAGGTTGTATTCGGAAATCACTTTATGAACTGTCGTATCTATTTGGCTCATCCCAATTGGATTACGGGCCAGCAAGGCCAACTACCAATTCGGAATAGCACCAGAAGGCCGTTTCGACCTCTTGGGACAGCTATCGTGACATAGGCTGCTGGCAATCCTGAGCTCGGCTTCTTGAAGGCAACCGCGTGGATGCGCACTACTGGCGAGACCCAAAAGGACGAAACGGCAGTCTGGTGCTTTTTCGGAATATTAGAAGTCTACCTAGCCTGTAATTTACTTGCGTCTAACCAAATAAATCCCACCAAATCTCTCTACGCGTAAGCACTATCGTATCACTTTGAGTAGCCATCCTAAAATATGAGTGCAATAAACTACGCAAGAGGTAAGCCATTCGTTAGGAGGAACGCACCCTACCTTCACGAACACTAGCCTGTGGTGGTTGCTCCAGAAACAAAACACCATCCTAGAGAGCCCTAATAGTGTATCTTAATGTATTTTCCATTTATTTTTATAATTGACTTTACACTGTATGTCGTGCAGTTGTCTGAACTCTGTTACCACTTTGCTCCTCCAAATCATCGACTTGATGGCCCCCCGTGTACTGTGTTGCATCCTTTTTCATAAACAAGATCTGTCTTAGTTGTCACTCTTCTGTCTGTTGCAGGTGTCTCCGAACCAACCCAATTGAGCATACTTCGGTGGGTTTTATTCGGTCTTCCAGATGAAAATCGCGCAGTACTACAGCGGCTCCTGTACCTCCTCAACGGCTTGGTTCGTCATTCTGATGTGACTCAGGTAGGCACACGTAGTGTACAAAGCGAGGGTATTTAAGTGGAGTTGATGGATATTGAAATTTGCTTACTATGCTGGACGTCGGGCATTTCGTCCAACGTTCAGATCCTGGAGAACGCTTTTCACTCTCTCTCTGGCGACTTTTGTGACGCTTCTATTTTGATACGGAATTCATTAAAAACACCGCATGGACACAGCCGTTAATTTTGTATTATTTATTGTTATCCTTCCTTATTGCTTGGATACGTGAATTTTTCCGACATTGTGATTTACTCTGGCTTGCTGTATTAGGTCTGTGGGGGGACACTGTTCTCCATTCTTTGGTTCCCATAGCAAACGCCACTGCAGCTTGTTCTCTCTGTGAATGGATTTTGTGCTGCGCATCAGCGGATCTAGTGAGCGACTGACTTACTCGTTTTCGCTGCGATAAACCGGTAAAATTTCATCAAAATCCTACTTCTCAAACTCTTGCTCTCATAGTCTTTACATGCTATGCGGACGGCTACTGTGTGTTGGAAGTTGTAAGGTCAGAAGTGGGCCACTGTCCTCTGCAACGATGGAAACCTGCATGATAGTGGAGGATAGGTTGCGCTATCTTCAAGTGAGCTTGCAATTTCCAATGGTCCGCCACCGCAGGGGGACTAAGTTGCTGGAAGTTGACTCAAGCGGTTAGTGCTCATGGATTCTCTTCCTTGTAGGGAACCGAGGCAATGCGCATCACTGACAGCTCTCTATGATGCGAAACGATCGACTGGTGCTTTTCCGCTTTGGAATTGACTCATCTAGGTTGTGAGCAGCTGGGATGAACCAGTAAATTTTCAACAAAAATCCTCCTACTCATAAGTAACCACACTTCCATTGGCTCCCTCCGCGCTACCCGTCATTACTGCGTCTCGTCACGCAGCCTCATTTTTCGAATTAATCAACTTCGATCTTTTATACTCGTGTGACGAATTACCGTTTACACTATAAGCATTGTAAAATATTTTTGCCGCTTAACTGAGCGATTGTTCCTCACGCTTTAATTAACTGTACATGTCCTCCTATGCCTAAGGTCTATCTACCAAGATTGAACAACGATTTATCCCCGCTTCTGTTCATGCGTTTTTCAAATACTTCGTTTATGTCGCTACAGATCGAATTCCTACGCTTGTTGAAGTTTAGGTCACTACTTTTGACAGTAGATCGTTCCATCCGAACTTTGCATCCTCTCTAGCTTATGCGGTATTGGGCACTTGTGAAACCGAATACTAGAATAAGACTCACTAGACGTTATTAGGGCTTTGCTTGAGATAACGACACTTTCGAACTCACCACGCACCTGTTGGCAGTATTTGATAGTCGACTGGTGACCATAAGAAGTATGCGTCTGCTTTGTAATCCGGAGTTGGCGGATTCGAGTCCACGTAAGTCGAGGTGACTCGCGGCGTACCCAGCCACTGGGCCGCCACCGCCACCGTTAGTCACGGGGCAGTGAAGCGTCGGTACGATGTACCGGCGTGTTGCTGATGCATCCCTACTTTACTCGATGGCTAGAAGCTCTGAAGTAGAGTCAACTTTAAAACAACTGAACATCAGCCTACCCTGTCTAGCATGTTCGCGCTGATTTCCCCTCAGCTAGGCGTGGCATTTTGTTTTTCGTTTCCTCCTTTTAGTCGTTTTTCTGCATTTTCTTTACCTTTCGCTCCTGCTGACACGCATAGTACTTCCTCTCGGTCAATGTTATATGATGCGCATTATGTCATAGCACCCGAGGTGCAGGAGGAAGACCTGATGCATGCAGAGAAGAAGCGACAAGTACGGAGGCAGCAGGCGCCTATGGGTTGTACTCCATCGAGCGCATGGTGCTGTAGCACATGCGGTCGCGAGTGCCTGAGTCAAGCAGGCTTAGGGAGCCATGAGCGAGACCACTCCAGGCCACTACCGAAGCGACGACGAGCCCTGCAGAGAACGTAGGCAGAACCGGCGCAGCGTTTGTAGGTACGCTGCATTCGATTTACTAACCGCGCGCTTGCATGCGAAGTCTCTCTATTTTAGCTGGTGGGTTTGCAATTTTGTTTTATTTCTTACTTTTCTCATATAAATGTCTACCTGTACTATCTTTTATAAACCTGTACACGTCGTTGAAGCTAATTGTGGTTAACTTTGCTAACATGCTCATGTTTGTGGCATTTCCGTAAAATATACTTTCCTACCTCGTGAACTTATCTCGGATTTGATGGTAGACAATTTATTTCATATGCTTATTAATTTAAGATTTAGGTCACCGTTTCTTTTTGCATTACTCGATTTACTTTTTTTGTTATCTTCCTCTCAAGTGAACGGCTGTTGCTTGATATCCCCGGTTTGACTGCGTTTGAAATGCATGTTGACAAGGTGCCTACCTATCGATTACCCACTACCTCGTCTATCTGGCTCTAGGCGACAGTTGGTCGTTGCTGGAGGGGACGGGGTGCACGGTCCTTGTGATCGTGTTAGGATCAAAGTGTGGTTCCATGCACTCAGTGTGTAGCGGACTACGGTCCAACCAGCGCCTAGTGTGCGCTTGATCCCAAAATGCAGCGTGCTTGTTTTTGCTGTGAAGGAGTGTGGGCCGGCTCCGTTGATGAAACGTGGCTCCCATCCACATGCTTCTCGGTCTTATTCCTTCGGGTTTACACTGGACATGGGGTATGGGGTTGGGGGTGTGGGTGGTGCAGCGCAAGCCACCCATGGTCCCTTCTGTAGGCGCATGCGTTCTGTGGTGACAGGCAAATCTGAAACCGGATGCCGCCAACCATGTCATAGCACATTCTAGAATTACTTGAAGGGGTCATCATCATCATCATTGCACTCTAGCTGCAGGTGCGAAACACTTTAGCTGTGTGTCGCAATACAAAACGATAAAAACGATGAAAAAAGAGATGCAACAGATCATGGAGTGCAAAATTTAAAAAAAAGTGACAGACATGCAGTACGGTGCATAACACCATATTACGCATCGGATGAGAGATCGTGATTATATGGGGAAGATAAACAGGAAGGGGAGGGACCGTGCAACTCTCAACCCAAATGCCATTGAGGTCGGTTCTTCGTTATATCATGTCTATCCAACCGAAAAATGTTCCTCGCTTTTCAGACCTAAACCAGGCGGTCGGGAGGCATCAACTGACGCCAAGTTAGATGCTAACCTCTTCATTCTTCATAACCAAATCATCGCTTGGTCTCTTCTGCTCTTTTATCCAGACCCCGTTCGCTCAAACGGCACATGTCATGGAAGTCGGTATGCTGACATGCACAACACGTGGCCTAGCCCTCGGGGCTTGGTACGTGATATAAAGGCGCTGAGCGTTTCACTCGCTCTTTCTGCACTGAATATACAGGACGCCGAACACACTCATTACTCAAGCAGCGTTCCTACCAGATGCGAGCTAAACTGCGAATGTTGCGATAGCTGAACGTTATTAGCGCCTTCTTATCTGTCGATCTGATGGGCCAAGTTTCGCATAAGTACAGGTTGGTTGAATGCACAACTGCCCTTCAGAACGAAAGTGATGTCGTATCGGCGCTACAGGTTGGCGAAGCGCATCGAGCTTTTGATGTATGGTTTGTGTTCTCGTCTTCTATCTCACGAACGATTATGTAGCTATCTAGATACTTGAATTTGTGAACAACTCTTAGCTGATCACTACTAAGGGTCAGCGCAGTGGACGGTTTCTTTTAGTCTTGGAGCACTTTGCATTTCGAGGGTGCAAAGCATAGCTCGAAACAACTAACTTCCAGAGCTCGTTTATCCAGTGTTGCTAGGCCCATTTGAAACTCTGTGACAGATAAGGGTATATCATCGGTTTACTCTAGGTCAATATTTCCATCAACCAAGAGCAGCTTCACACCTTTCAGGTCGTGTCCAATTAATGCAACTTCTATGAACTCTTCAATGTCGAAGTTAAGAAGGAAGTGTCACAGTGGGCACCCTTGTTTCACACTGTTGGAGCTAGTGATGGACAACGACGGCTTGCCATAATCCCTTATTCTGCCCGAACTATTATGACATTTCCATATTTCTCGGATACACCTTTCTTGAGAAAACAGTTCCAAAAGGCACATGGATCCATGGAATCGAAGACAATTTTGATGTCGCGAAACACGACTATGGTGAGTTTCCAATGAGCACAGCGGCGTTCCAACAGCTGAGGTAGGGATGTTGTCAGTACACCCTCGATTTCGAGGTAACCTGACTCTTGCTCATGAATCTGGTTTTCACTGGCGCGAATCAGTCTATGGAGAACGACAGACGCTTGCAACTTACAGGCAATTTAGGCCAGACCAATCCCTCTATGGTTGCCGCATTCCGAACGTGAGCTTCTCTTGCAAAAGGAGACTATAACTGAGTGGCTCTACTCTACGTGGAAGGGGTACAGTATCATTGTTATTACTGCCACAACACCTCATCAATTCGTGGTAATGTAGAAAGCGGACTCTTCGCCTCACGGTGGACATATCAGAAATGATAAGGCTTTCATCCCAATAGTTCACAAGTTACATAGCAGAGCCTAGTCCGGAAAAGCGCCAGATGTGTTTCGCCCTATTGTGGCTCGCCAGTGGCGCGCATTCCCTCGGTCCTCTAAGGAGGATCGAACCCATGACCGTTAGAGGCAGATGCCAACTAGCCAGCAGCTTAAGCCACTGAGCCATGGGGGACGTTGGCTCGGCTACATAATTTGCAAACTAACTGGGATATAGCACCACCTATCTACCACTGTCACTGACAGTGGTTAGCCTGCGAGGTGATGACGTCCTCTTACTACACGCTATATCTAAAGCATTTGAAACTAGGAGAGGCTATTTTTATTTTATTACTCACGAGTAACAGGATTTTAGTTGTATTTCTTGTAAGGCTTTCATCCCAATAGTTCACAAGTTACATAGCAGAGTCTAGTCCGGAAAAGCGCCAGAGCCGGACTGGGCTCTGCTATGTAACTTGTGAACTATTGAGATGAAAGCCTTATCAGAAATACAACTAAAATCCTACTACTCGTGAGTAATATCAGAAATGACTCCACGTACTTGTGTTCACCGCACAGAAGCCATGTGAGATTTCTCACCGCTGACCTCACCCCCCCCCGCGTCATCCCCTCCAGTCGGGCCATTTTACGCGTTTCGCCACACTCCTACATTCAGACGCAGATAAAAGCGTTCCTCTCCCCTCTTGGTGTGGATGCCGTGCACGCACCGATTCGAAGCACTTTGCTGTGCCACTTATGTCTTGGCGCAGGTGCTCTTTTCACTATGCACATGCTTAGCTGCAGGTGGTGGAATGAGCTTAGCTCCTTCAACTGTGCTGAGTCAATGGCTAACCCAATCATAGGCTTCGTAATTCGAGAGAGTGGCTGGATGCGAGCTTATTGGATTGTCGTGAAATTCCGAAACATCAGGATCAAAGTGCCTGATCAGAACATCGTTCGAACGGCTTTGAGATAGTTAATTTGCTTTTCTCAAGGGATCTGGTATCAAAGCTGTAGCTTTTCACACGTTCCTCACGGAATGGTGATATGGGCAGATGATGTTGTACTGTACTGGATACATTATCCCTTCCGATGTTTTTCAATCGAAACCGCAATAAACTAAGACCATGAGACGATCGATAGTAGGGAACTGTGTATTATCGCTACTCTGCTTGTGTCATGTTACACTCCATGGTCAATGTTAGTGTGACCCCACGTGGATGGAAATTCTGGGGGGTCCCCGTCCGAGGGGACGACAGGCCCCAATGCGACTCAGCCTTTCCTCATGCTCGTTTGCCCTTTCACTAACTGACTACTCCGAGGTTTTGCGTAGCTAGGCGCAGTATTGGTAAAAAGCATGTGCCGACGCATCCGGCTCGCTGGCTCTCGAAGGAGCATATGGCCGAGTCAAGGAAGCATATTCGGGCATAACAGGCGTTCTAAGGAGACTCCAGCAGCCTGTCACCAAACATCAAAGGACGGACTGTAATATTACTCATTCACTTCTATATCATACATAAGCAGTCCTGCGTAGTCAGTAGTGACTTGTCTCTTGACACCGATATTGTTCCCCGGCCAGTATTCTGCTCCATACAGTATCACTAATGACATCGCAGTGTTATATGCCACTCGCCTAACCACCTCCATAGGTGTTTGATGCGTTGAAACGCCATACAGTTCTTATCTGTGTGTGTGGTAACCTCGTCGGTAACCCAACCATCACTGCCTAGGCGGTGATTTCGCCGTATGCCCTGACACTGTAATCTGCTATGCCAAATATTTGCGTGTCTAGTATAGGTTGGTTGCCTCGTCCGTCCTTCTGCCAACATCGGCTCCAACCTACCATTGCCATTTTTTCCGTAGTTTAAGGGTTCCCGATCGCTTTCTGACATGAGCTGATCTCGAACCACAGTTGATCCGCACTGTGCTGGGAATAACCAGTCGGAATGGACACGCGCTATTGCATCACAGAGACGAAGCGGTTAGACAATCGGACGCGAACCGAACAGACCCCACTATTTGACGTGCCAAGCATAGACATCCGGCTACCACGCTTCATTGATTGATTGCTAACGATTACTGGCACTTCAGTCAGTCTTCTGTTGTTCGTACGGGTAGTTTTATGGAATCACAACAGCTCGTCGTTTATGCACGTCGCCCAACAATTTATGTCGACTTCGCAAACGCTATGGTACGCTGTCCGTTACACTGTTTCATCCCCACTGAATAAGCCGTTTGTCGGCGCTTTTGCGATATGCAGTGCATCAAGAGTCAAACCGCATTGTCTGATCGATCAAAGAATCAACAACAACAGTACATCAGCCATTTGAACTGATGCTTCTCTGTCATACAACCATGATCGCCTAAGGAATAAAGAATAATAACAGGGAGAGAAGAGGGACTTACCTAAAAACCGTAATGCTATAAGCAAACATTCAGCATCAAGGCGCCTACATTTTGTGTTAACAATATACCGCTACAAACAGCTGGCTATCGTGCAAAGATAAGGCGGCATCGGCGAGACAGCTTCCTTGTGGCTTTCACTGTCCTGCGTCATAATCAGTCATTACCCCGCAGACAACTCAGCACCAAACACACTTTAAACACGTAATCCGATTAGAAGACGGTAGCAGACGCCCCACTGGTGTCTACTGCGAGCGATGTCCTGTAAGGTCTCTAGCCAAGCACAAGGCGAGTCACGTTGACTCCAGCTCGGAAGACGAGACGGACCAACAGCACCCAGTTTAGTCGTCATTGACTTTATTTGCCGCTGCCAAGTCAACTTCTGTCCACCTCGAGCCTTGCGCCACCCTACACCTGGTAGACTGAACAAGGCCCTGCCAGGTAAGCGGTGACCAGGCATACGTAGCTTATTCAGTGCTATCTGTTGTTCTAGGGAGCTAGCATGATTATCACTACCCAATACTCGCCTATAAGCATCATCGTTGCGGACACACTGATGCTATCCGACACCAGCAGTGCTTCGCAGACAACGATAATCAAAGATTTGTAGGCACCTGAGATCTTCAAACCGAAGGGACGAAGTCTCACTACCATAGAGCAGAACGGCCCTCACTGTGGCCTTGTATACACTGTCTTTCAGATGGAGGGAAACTCCCTTTTGTCGTCATAAATGCCGCAGGTTCAAGAAGGCATTTTCTAAGCTTCTGGGCGGTATTCGCAAGCAAATCTTTAGATATTCCGGTACTTTGCGGGCCTGACTTCAAGTCAGACGACGGGGATTTAACTTCTCCAAATAGCCTTTACTATCTGAATACGCAACCTGCTGTTCATCGACGGAACTCCATCACCATTGAGCTACTTTATCCTATATGACATCCCAATAACCGGTTGGATAACGGATCAGTGTGACCTTTGGCTGATGTAGTAGGGAAGTATGCAGTAACGCTTCTGAGTACCGAGCCATAACGGTGTGTGTGCAGTCTTCCTCTACTAAGGCTTCTGGACCAGCCACAGTAGTAGCGGTTATGATATCCATCCGATATGACACCGCTGAGTGCTCGAGCCTTTGCCTTCAGTTCGGCCAAACCTTCTTCTCAACCACTTGCTTCTAATGCTGACCTGACTCATCACCTCAGTTTCTTTTTTATCATGAGTGAGCGGGTAAACACTTGGACACCATACGAGTCACTTGTGCTCTCTTGTTTTTGGTACAAACACTAGCCAGTGAGGGATCATTTAGGATGAACACAATTTCGACAACCACGCGCTCACGTTAATGAGTTCATGTACGAGCGTAACTACGCATTCTTTTGCCAACGCAATTGCTACTTTATTTTCGAACGGGCTTTGGCATTTCCGTCAAACTACTTTTGTCTGGATACTTATACACTTGTAATGTGAACCACTTTGTATCTCTAAAAATCTCCGCGTTGTTTATTGCTTCTAGCTGCGAGTTAACCTGGAACACTTGAAGGTCACTTTAACCAGGTGCATAGAAGGTTTACCATGTCCATGACTCGTTGCACACCCTCAGGCTCTACTTAGTGGCCAGCGATACGCACTGAACTCTGGAAACTTTCGCGGTTGGATGTCTTTGAGCTCGTCGTGTCGTTTACTCTTTATGCTCTTATTCTTTGTTGTCTTTGTTACACAGATGAACGAAAGCAACCTGGCCGTGTGTTTCGCCCCTTCGCTCTTCCGTTTCGCTAATTCTTGCGGCGCCTCACAACCGAGTGTTGGATTGAGTCCACGCCGACTGAGGCGGACAACCAGTGGGCCGGATCCCAAAGACTTGGCTGACCAACGCACCGCCCAGCAGTGTCTGGCCTCCATGATCCGGAACGCGCCCTTCCTTTTCGAGGTAATCTTAGTATCGTTATTTCATCATATTATTGCTCTGAAAATAAGTATAATTTTGCTTTACGTATTTTCATAACTGCGGCAACCACATGTATATTGATGGTCGGGGTTTCAGACATTGACCAGTGAGACTGTCGGTTTCGGCTGTTTCCATCTGAAGACGGCCAACAGTGGCGGAACCAGTCTTGGGAGCGCCAAATACTAACTTAACACGAGAGTTTATTCGCAGGCGATACCAGTCTATAGTCAGGGGAAAGCGGTGACCCGGTTAAGAACATCCAATTTACCTTTCGGCATGCGAACAATGCACACGCATTCTACATTTTCCATATTTTCCGATTCGCAAATCGGTGATGTCTTTCGACACATCTGCCCAACTGTTGAGCAGAATGATCTCTCAAGGTGTCCAGCTGTGTTTCCGCAATAAAACATCAAGCATGCGTATGCGATTGCCCCTTCGCAGGCTACTACGCAGGGATTAGGGGTTGGCACCTTACGAAATAACATCTTAATAAAAAATCTGCTTAACTGGTGCGGGACATATCAAATGAATATGACGATCGAGTAACGAATTTTCGCTCATGACAAATGGCAAAGATAGACCGTATACAGATGCATAGTAGATAGATAGATAGTAGTGCCTAAGCCACACTTTTCTTCCCATTCTTGGAAACAGCGCCGCCACTCTAAACGTCCATCTGCTTCCATCGATTTTAAAGTCATCGATCGCATTCTCTGTACAGTGTTTTCATCTTCCAGATTTCGATTGACCTTCTTCGAAGAGCGCACCTTTTCCCCAGCCCACTGGAACCGCCAGATCTGGAGTCCGTGTTCCCTAGCAGTGATTGGCCCACTTGGCTACAAGCTGAACTCGGTCGACTGACTCGTGAATGCTCCGGTGGCAAGTCGAGGGGTTGGACAATGATTAGCCGAGACGCTTGGAAAGCATTCCAATCCGGGTAAGAACGGTGCAGAATCCTGTCTTAAATCGTCTTATACTTTAAGCACTATTCCATCTTCTCCGCTTGTATTTAGCCCCCACCGATAGACAGCGATGTCCTCGCTTGTGTGGCAGTTCATAGGTGCAGACTCTCAATCTTCTGTGCTCATTTGGTTATATTTGTGGGTGTTCGTCGAGTATTCGTTTTCGTCATTGATCGTTTGGGCGGCAGATCCATCACGCCGTACTCGGGTTGTTCGGCTGGCACAGGACCTTCCAAATTTATCTCTCTAATTTGTACCTCGTGACATTAGTTCGCGTATCTCTATGTTTTTACCTCGTCATCCGACGCGTTGGTTCCGCGTTCTGTTCCGTTGGGCTTAGTTAATATAGTGGGTGATTTTCCGTCCGTGCTGCTGCTTATATCGCATCCAGTTCAACGTGTCGGTTGATTGAATCGGCTGTAGAATAACTTGCCTCCAAGAGTTCTCTCGCTTGTTTCGAAGTGGTGCCTTAAAGTGGTGGCCTTCTCGGTCTTCATGCATGGAAACCAAAGAATGGAGGTCCTATATCCATATTATCACTTGTGTTCAATGATCCGTGTTGAAAGTTTCCTTCCAGTTTGTTCGATGTGATGTTTGTCGCATTCTTTGGAATTTATTTTATAGAAGACGTCGCTCTGACTGCCCATTTTGACTTTGTCTTTCTGTCTTGAGAGCAAATCTCCTAAAGTACCATTTGGTTTGTGAACTACTGTGACTCGCTATGGTCGCAGCAATCTCGCTATTGGTTCATCCATTTTGTTACCATAAGGAATCTACCTGTTCTCTCTTGTGGAGGCACTCTTCTTCAGGCTCCTTCTGATGCAATTTCTTAGAAAACCATTGTTTTGCAATGTTCGATCTAGCTGGTTCTTGTCCTTCCTTTGGATCCATTGTGTTATGGTGTGTTTCAGCCCTTTTGAAAGGGCTTTGGATACAGCTTTGCTTGGGCACCCACTAGTGGGGGTGGACCCCTGTTTTCCGTTGACATATAACGTCGTCTCTCATTGTTTGGCTGGCTATATCTGATTGGTGTTTAGATTGATCTCTTTTTATTGGCTTGTGCCTTCCTGTGTTTGTTGTGCCCCGGTTGGCTTAGACTTCTGTGCGTTTTTTAGCACTTTCGCTTCATTGCCTTACAAAGTTTCCCTATAAGGCGCAGTGTAGGGAATCCTGTTCCGTTGGTCCCTGTTGTTCTCAATACCGGGGTGACTGAAAGCGGTTCACAGAGGCCACATGGTGGTACTGGCAACAGGAAGTGTTAAACGTCATTGGCTCTTGTGATGTGAAGAACGACCATTTTACGGTGGCCAGAAATCAGACTTACATTTTCCAACGATCTCACCTTTTACACCCTTTGTTCGTACGTTAACTGATAATCTCTGTGTCAATGAGTTCTGTCATCCACCCAGTTTTTTTGACTGCCATCACAATTGGCGCATTTTGTTAACAGATTCATGCAACGGAAATTCCCTTGCAGCTTTTTATGCCTTTCGGGAGACCCCACTGTTAGTACACTTTAGACCGGCTATGCTGCATTGAGTGTGTGATCTACTTCTGGGAGAGCTTATGTATAGCTGATGTACCGCCCTGCTTGGTGATGAATTCGTTTACTTAAAGCTTGCTAAGCAATCTACGCATCACATTAACAAGACGGGCGATACAACATGGTACATACACCAGACCAAAAACACTATAAACGCTCTGACAGGAAAATTAGTAACTCGAAGTTATCGTCTGAGGAATTTGAAATATGAACTTTCCCACATACTTTCAACTGAGAATATTACAAGACGCAGGTTGTGAAATGATGACGTCACTTTGTGCATTCTCTTCGGTCACATACATGCGGTTAATAGGGAATTCAAGACAAGGCTACATAAAATCGATTCATGGCAAATAGGTTTCCCATCGGTCCGCCACACGCCACCACAGTAAGCTTAGTGTCCCTGTCAACTGTGTTTGGGCACAGGGCAGTGGGCGCTGCTGGCCGATAACAATTGCCTCGAGTATTTTGAGAATGTGAAGCCTTTGACTGCGCATGTGGACTTTGAAATATACATCGAGGTTGATATGGTGACCGGTGTTCAGTATCTTTCCCTTGATTGCTGAAGCAACCCTGTTAGTCGTTTTCCCCGGCATAACCGTCGCATGCTCCATCCGTTTGTGAGGCCACTTTAGCATCTATTCGGCGATTCGGATACTAAGTTCTTCACCAGTTCGTCTAGCACAGAGGTCACAAAACTGCGGCCCGCGGGCCGTACCCGAATTTGCTTGATACACTGTAGGGAACACGAAACAGTTTGGTAAAATTCATATTTGACACTGTAAGTTGCATTGTCGATGACCTTACACTGAAAACTAGCGCGAGACATCTCAGGGGGGTTACTTGTGATACCGTACTCACGTAGTATTGGTGACCCCACAGCGTTGGAAGATGAATGTGTGTGATCACCCATGAAGCCGAGTCAATCGTGCAACCTGCCCTTTTTCAGTTTACCTCACACCTTTGTTCCACGATATTGGGATTTGTCCACTCACTTGAAGCACACATCATATAAAACGCCAATGGTTTATACATGTGTTACTTTGGAACCATAATTGGATCGAATTGCAGGTCAGTAGTACGGAATTGCGCTGAAAGCGTACATTTTTGTGCTCCATACATTTTATTCTTGCTAACTACATGTTCCATCAATGGTCCCTACTTCTCTATTTTTCCTCTGTTTCGATTAAAATTTTATCGTCTTTTAACTCGTCACGCTTTTCTTGTTCAGCTCCCATTTGTCCCAGCTTTTAATAAAACTATTGAGAAAAGGACATCGGACACCGAATGTCATGTTTTCTTTGCCTTTTTCTCCATAGTTTTCGTTCTGACTCCCAAGTATTATGCGTAATGATTATGCGGCTCACCGTAACTATTTTCTTAGTTATCCGATCCGCGTTAGTCCTACTTCCAGTAATCCGATCCGCGCCAGTCAATTTCTATAGCTATCCGGCCCGCCGTGCAAAAAGTTTGGTGACCCCTTGTTATACCCAGATGAATCAGAACAATGACGTATATGAATGAAGTATATCGGAACCAAGAGTGCATACAGTGAACGTATAGTAGCCAAACAGCAAGCAAGCAAGTAATGTCGGAGCTGAGTCCAGTGTTCGATCAGACAGGGAGGGACTTGGCAAATGAGCGCCATGAGAGGAATGACGACACAAACACACACACCTATTGATGGACACACACACGCACGCGTACATTCGCAGTCAGTAGAAGCGACACGGAACATTGGCTGAGGACGCATCACGCTTGGTCTAGCATAACTCTCTACTGCTACATGCGAATGTGGGAGAACAGCGGAGTATGCAATGCTTCGACATCAGTGTCATCCCTGAACATCTAAGGAGTGATCTTGCGCATATGCTCAAGCGTCGAACTGTCGCACTCTATGTCTTTTCTATATCACAACTGGTTACTTGGCCACTGCGAATGTTGCGGTCTTCCGTCATCCAGTTGTTTTACTCACTGTTTCGTATAAGGAGGACCGCAAATTCTATCCCCTCATTAGACACGCGAAAAGAGCAGTCAGTCGGCATGACACACATGCTTGTTCGCAGGAAACGAAATGCGATCACATGTTCTGAACTGTTTATATACATATCGCTCCGCAATGATTCGGAATACGTGTAGCTCGGGTTGGTAGTTAACGCACAACCTGATGCTAGGTCACATACCAACTGCGACTTTGAAATGAATCTCATCTAGATCTAAAGGAAAACTAGAGGCACACGAACGCCGAAATATCGTCTACAGGATAGAGTGCGAGAACTGTGAGAAAGACTATGTGAGTCAAGCGAGGCGAATTGCTTAGGGCAACAGTACGTCACACATTACTGGGACATTGAAACAAGTAGAAGTTTACATTGAAATAATCGTGATCATGCCCCTGATATCTAACGTATTACTTTCACGCAGCAGCATCATGTTTTTTTAACAATTTCGGATTCACTTGGATACGTAGCAGTCTCCAGAACTTGTAACTGGCGTTTATGCAATGCAAGAGCATTACCAATAGCTCATAACATTTTCTTTGGGTCCAGCCATGTGTACTGGAAGGACCTACTTCATATGTGTTTATGACCTAATAGCTTGCAACATTTGGCTTTCAGTGAGCATTCTGCTTATAAAATGGGTTATTTAAAGCACTGGACACGAGATTGTTGTTTTCATTCGGTTGATTAGCTGCAACGTTTTCATCGCTCTCGATCGCGTTAACAACGAATTATCCTCTTTCATTTATGATCCTATCCCCAGATCTGGTGCCGGTGAGGTGATTGATAGCCTGGAGGTGCACTACCGCAAAGCAGTATGTACGAATAATTCAAAATCTGGTTCTCATCTCCGAACATGGCGCTGCTCGTTAGTGATTCCCGTTAACGATCCGCAAACCATACTTGAGAAGTACTCCACATCCAGGTATGGCTATTGTAGTTTGTTTAAAAATCATGTTACTGACTTTTTAAAAGTAGCTAATATTTTTTAAAATCATTCATACGCCGATACATTATGTGTAACCACATTTTTATGGCATGCTCTCGCAATATTTTCACCGGATTAGCAGACAGATCACACTTACCATACATTTATTCTGGATCTAGGATTTTATTATCCTGTAATGATCAGGGGCATGGGTAAGTGTTCAATTAAGACGGCATTCTTCTCTTTCTCCTACTTATTCCACAGGGCCCAATGGGACCCGGAGGTGACCCAGATGCAAATTGTCGAGCAAATATCGGACTGTGTCGACCTGTGTCTCATCACACACTGCTCAATCTTCCCCCAACCGAAACGTTGGTTTCACGTACTCCGTGGCCACCAGTCCCTGCTAGAAGATGGTAGCTGCGCTCTGGTGTGCGAGTCCGTTGCTCCAACCGGATCTGTTGTCGGTCCTTTCGGGCAGGACTTTACATTCGGACACATTTATCAGGATCATTTGTATATACGCCCACGTGCGGAAGAAGACGGATGCCGTGTGTATTTTATATCAAAAGTAGATGTGAAGTAAGTCCGAGTGTTCATTTCATCAACCTTTCCGGATTCTGTCTATTGCACAGTCATTTGGCTTAATATACTAACAGTGCAGCCAGTTCAGGCAGCGGAACTAAAACTATCTCGGTAGCCGTTCGCATCACTCAGGCATACACAGTATGGCTGAGCTTTGAACCAGGGACCTCTCAGAATGGATCATCAGCTGATTTCACCGGGTTACTGAATTCGTGAGCAAATTTAGATCCACAGTCAGACACTGTTGAAAAGGGGGTTTGTGATATCAGAATTGCTGTTTACGATCTGGATTGTCTTACTGATTCGATCAGGCTTTGCTGGAACCAACCGGCTATCTACTTAGCTCTAGTCGATTAGTTCATCTAGGCCGCGTTCGACTTTCAACCCCGTACACCGTTTGGGTCCGAGCCTCTGTCATTTTTGCGTGAGTTTGCGAGCCACTGCAGTGTCCTAACCCACGTAAACTCACTTGCAGTTGCAGCGCAATGGATCATCCTTAGGTTTTAGATGTATTGCTGACGCGTCATCTTTTCACGCTTGTCCAGCGCTCACCTGATCTCATATATTTGTTCACTGACAGTGTGCCCGATTACGTGAAATCACCTTTCGAGACAGTGCCTTGGAGGCCGCCGTATCTATAGATTAAAGGTTGTACTCGACTTCACTCGATCGGAAAGTCATTGGCTGTCTTCTAACCGGCCATTTGATTCCACTTGTTAACCACCCATTCGGCACGTTTAACTTTTTTCTACGAATCCCCAAAAAGCTCTGTGTTCGTCTTCTACTTGTGTTGTCTCTCATTTTTTAATAACGTTCCTCACTGCTATTGTCGCGGCGATGCGGCTGAAGGCAGCTGGGCACATTTCCCTTTGGTATCCGTTACACGTGATTGTTCCACTGAGATTAACTAACTTTACTTCCACATTGGGAAAAATACTACTCCAGTCTTTCGAACGGATTTCACTCGGTTTCACGCAAAATTCCACCACTATGGGTGGATATCTGGGTCCAGAAGCAGGCCACACAGCGCGCCATCACACTGCACATGCAACCCTTTCTCGAGGCAGCTTGAAACTGAGGCAGCCAGCACGTCGGTCCGATGCTGAGGGTATTCAGGAGTTTTGTCTCATCAGTCTCTTGCGTGCGTCCTCACGTGGGATGTATATTTTAAGCTTGACAATCCCACTTGAAACCCCACATCGGAGCGTCAGCGAACTCACAACGCAGACTGATCAAGAACGGCAAGAACCGGCACAACCTCGTTTGCTATCCGAGGTTGAAGGTACTGGGAGTTTTCAGCGGACGCTATCCACGGTTAGCTGGAGGTCTTACATTGGTGTACCAAATATTGAGGGACCCCGATCACATATATCGCCAAGTACTTCAAATCAGCCACAACACGAACTTTGGCGGTAGCCTCTTGAAACTGGATGAGCAATATCACCATCTGCAATGATGACAAAATTTCTTTTCCTTTCGGGCTTACCAACCTCCAACTAAATACGATTCTATGTTGCTCTTAACTTTCAGCACATGATTACATAAACTGTGATAATGTAGAATGTCTTTGTGATCTTCTTTTACTGGATTTCTATATCACATGAATGCAAGAAAACGGTAGGCGAGCGAGCGTGATTATTTCTCTCACAGGATACAGCTCCCCACACTCTTTTCCCTGCTGACATTCAATTCCTATTTCTCACTGTGGTCGTACAGCTACGAACTCAGACCTTTGGGTCTAGCTAACTAATGACATACTTAAATCTCTCCTGATTTTGTGATTTTCACTCTCAACACCCTGCAGAATTTGTTAGGCATCTGATTTTTAGCCCATGATAAAACATTGTTCAGTAACATTTGACTGGCTTCGTCTTTGTATCCTCCAAGTGATGTAGAAACTTGATAATACAATTCAGGAATTGTCAGTTTCCGGCACCTAGTGTTGTATCACCATCAACTGCTCGCAACCTACGACCGCAATGAGAATATGAGAGATGAGCTAGGACAGAATCAGCGTCAGCAATACGCCAATACGCAGTACCGACGCTTCGCTGCCGCGCAACCACCACCAGTCGCATGTAAGCTAAGGATACTGCGAGAGTCACCCGGTTCCCTACGCAGCCTCGAATGCGCGTCCTCGGATTAGAAGACAGGTTTGTGATCCTTAGGGCTATTGGCCGGCCGGAACAGAGTTATCTACGTGAGAATACTATTTCGGTCATATCGGGTACAAATAGCATCAGAAGCGTGACCACTAAAATACATTGGAGACAACCAACACGCGTAGACGCTGCATAACAGAAGTGAATGCGAAACACTCATAATACGACCCAATCATGTGAGTCCGAAAAAAACAGTCTTAACGGAACTTGCACTCTGAGAAGACATTTCAGGGATAATTGCATGCTCCCGAGACTGCAGTCTGCGGCCGGCTTCATCCTACTTCGAGCAGTTCAGGTAAGGATAATCCAGAGCGAGACTGGAACGTTTGCATTGTGATTACTCGCTTATACACCGGCCATTCACGCGACACACAGTTACTATGTGCCACTGCAACTGTGATGATTCCTTTTGCCGGCTTAATAGCTCCCACTTGGAAGTCCACCTCGATTATTCCCACTAATCAGATCGGTTCTGAAGTAGGAAGACATTTCAGGGATAATTACATACTCCCGAGACTGCGGTCTGCGGCCGGCTTCATCTCCTACTTCGAGCAGTTCAGGTAAGGATAATCCAGAGCGAGACTGGAACGTTTGCATTGTGATTACTCGCTTATACACCGGCCATTCACGCGACACACAGTTACTATGTGCCACTGCAACTGTGATGATTCCTTTTGCCGGCTTAATAGCTCCCACTTGGAAGTCCACCTCGATTATTCCCACTAATCAGATCGGTTCTGAAGTAGGAAGACATTTCAGGGATAATTACATACTCCCGAGACTGCGGTCTGCGGCCGGCTTCACCTCCTACTTCGAGCAGTTCAGGTAAGGATAATCCAGAGCGAGACTGGAACGTTTGCATTGTGATTACTCGCTTATACACCGGCCATTCACGCGACACACAGTTACTATGTGCCACTGCAACTGTGATGATTCCTTTTGCCGGCTTAATAGCTCCCACTTGGAAGTCCACCTCGATTATTCCCACTAATCAGATCGGTTCTGAAGTAGGAAGACATTTCAGGGATAATTACATACTCCCGAGACTGCGGTCTGCGGCCGGCTTCACCTCCTACTTCGAGCAGTTCAGGTAAGGATAATCCAGAGCGAGACTGGAACGTTTGCATTGTGATTACTCGCTTATACACCGGCCATTCACGCGACACACAGTTACTATGTGCCACTGCAACTGTGATGATTCCTTTTGCCGGCTTAATAGCTCCCACTTGGAAGTCCACCTCGATTATTCCCACTAATCAGATCGGTTCTGAAGTAGGAAGACATTTCAGGGATAATTACATACTCCCGAGACTGCGGTCTGCGGCCGGCTTCATCTCCTACTTCGAGCAGTTCAGGTAAGGATAATCCAGAGCGAGACTGGAACGTTTGCATTGTGATTACTCGCTTATACACCGGCCATTCACGCGACACAGTTACTATGTGCCACTGCAACTGTGATGATTCCTTTTGCCGGCTTAATAGCCCCCACCGTGTGTGTGTATGTGTTTGGATTGCGCCACACAATCTTGTTTGAACTAAAATTCACCATTTCAATCTCTAGACTATTTAGATAGATGTAACCAGATGGGAGTTATCTGCAGAATTTTTCGACTGAAGTAACTTGTCTCGTCTTACGCATCCACCTTCTGCGACCTTCAGCCACCACTTCGCCGCATGCAGCTCTCCTGAGCGTTTCTTTTTCTAGCCAGAGGACACTCTTAGAGTCAAGGTATTTTGCGATCATTTAATCACTATCGATTGATCCCCCCGACACCATCTTTCTTCCTCTGCTCTACTAATTTGTCACGGGTTTAGGATGGTATAAAGCATCATTAGCACTCAGAAACCAATTTATTTGTCTGCGGTCTTCGCATCGCCCCAGTTTTGACGGGGGTGCACCCGCTGAGCGTGAATGCTAATTATCCTCCTAACCTGTCATCGGTACGTGCATGATCCCAAAGGGCAGTTCAGTCCCCCAATCCCCCACCCACCCCAGTCTCACCGATCCCCATACCTCGAGCGCTGCTTGCCTCCCCGACTGGCTGTGTCCATTTGTGTATGCCTTGGTGGTGATCCACAGTGCCAACTAGACTAGCAACCAATAGGCGGGAAAAAACGACGCCGCTGCCGCCGCTGCCCAGTATGAATGAGTCTGGGTGCGAGTGTAGCACGTGCGACGCTGACCCGGCGCGTCTACAAGGTGTGTGGAAGCCATTGTCGCCACGGCAATTCTCGCATTCTCCGGTTGACACGGACCACCTCGCTCCTGCGTCCGCATGAGAACGGTTTACAGACAGCGTGGTAACCCAAACAGCGTGCATGCTACCCATAGTTCGGCATGTCTGCTGCTGCGGAATAAACCTGTCAACTAGACGAGATCTAGCCCTCTGGTGGGAAAAAATGCGTCAATCCACGGTGGTGATCGGAGCATTCTGTCTCTGACAACGCGGTCACAATCAGGTATGCACAGGCTGGTCGTTCACGCATCGGTCTGAAACTGGAATCTCCTCACTCTCTCCATATACCGTAACTGCATGTGATCTGGTAGGCACTCAACCATCTGCACTACCGCTTCCACAACCTGTGTCCTTTCCCTTGGTCGCTGGTGTAAACCGATCCGTTATTGACTGGATATCGTTGCCCCTATTCATTCAGTTTTTATAGGTTCGAATGTATTTGCATGACACCATCATCAATGGCTAGTGGATTTTGTGAATAGAAATCCGAAGTTTTGCGTGTCCCACTGAGAATGGTCGATTGGGGATTCGCAAAAACGACAAAAATATCTTTCCGACAGCATCGTCCATACAATCTAGGATGCAATAAATAAGGCTA